GTATGGGGGAAGAAAGAAGGAGATAGGGAGGAAGAAAGGAAGGGGAGGACTGATTAAAAATGAGCAAAAGCAAATAAGAGGAATAGGTTCTGGTCTTCTATTAAGCAGAAGGGTGATTATAGTAAAAAAAAATGTTGTATCATATAATTCAAAATTGCAAAGAAGTGATAAATGTTAGAGATGACAAATCACCTGAATATTCTGACTTGATCAGTACATTATGTATAAATGTACTGAAAGATCACACTGTACCCCATAAAGATGTACGATATAATCAATAAACTAAAGGCAAATGTTCTAAATAGACATATCTCAGAAGACAAAAAATGGCCAAAAGGTACACTTATTTAATGAAGTTCTTAGCTTCACTAATCATTAGGGAAATGCAAATCAAAACCACACAATATCACCTACAATATCACCTTACATGGTTTAGGATGACCGTCTTCAAAAGGACAAGAGATGGCTAGGTTGTGAAGAAGAAGGGGTTCTGTATACTCTTGGTGGAAATTTAAGTTGGGATAGTCATATGGAAGGTGGTATAGAAGCTCCTCAAAATATTAAAAATTTTAAACTACCATACCATCCAACAATCCCTTATCTTTGTCTACATCCAGAGGAAATGCAATCAGTATCTCAAAAAGATATCTGTATCCTTATGTTTACAAAAGCAGTATTAGTAGCCAACCTAACTATACATGGATGAGTGAATGGATAAGGAAATTGTGGTATACACACAAAATGTATATTATTCAGTCAAAGACAAGAAGGAAAATATGCATATTTAACAACACATGAACAACAAATGAGAACAGGGATAGCTATCCATAGACAAAATAGACTTTTGGTTAATTCTATCACAGTAAACAAAAAGATTACTATATAATGGTAAAGGGATCAGTTTTTCAAGAGAAGATAACACACACACACACACACACACAACATTGAAACTGAAAGGAAAGTGACTGCAACACTTGGAGCAACCAGGAGAGCTTTATTGCAGCAGTGCAACAGAGGAGAAAAGAGAGAAAGAGAGAGAGAAAGAGAGAGAGAGGGGAAAGAGAGAGCAAGAGCGAGAGAGACACAGCAAGAGAACAAAAGAGAGAGGGACCCAGCAGGAGGGAGTTTTTGTAGCCCAAATCTAATGGGGCCTCTGGGTCTGCAAGCTACCTTGTTGGCACAAGGCAGGGTTAAGTGTTCAGCCTTGAGTGAGGGTTGAGTGTTCAGCCTTGAGCGGGGGTTGAGTGTTCAGCTTTGACGCAAACAGGTGATAAAGGACCAGACAGAGGGGGCCATCCTGCAGCTAACATTTGTTCAGCCAGCCCTGCAGATAACATAGTTCAGCCTGTTCTGCACCTAACAGAAGCACTAAACAAAATACATTAGAAACAGAAAGAAAGACAAAAGACTGCATAATCACACTTACATATGTGGAATCTAAACAAGTCAAACTGTCACAGAGAAAGTAGAATGGTGGTTGCGAGGGCTGGCATACAGGGTAAACAAAAACTTATTGGTTGAAACTTTAAAATTTTTGGTTATAATATGAATAAGTTCTGAGACTCTCATATAAATCTATAATACACAGTCTGGGAGGTATTGCTCAGTTGATAGAATTCTTGCCTTGCATGCATAAGGCCTTGGGTTCAATCACCAGGACCTCCCCCGCCACGCACACACACAAAAGCTGTAATATATGCATAGTACATGTATTATTACATGTTTCTATAATTAATAAAACTCCGTTGCTTACTTGAAACTTGATAAGAGAGCAGACATTATGTGTACTTCATACATACACAGTGGTAACCATGGTGATGATGGATACGTTAATTAATTTGATAATAGTAATCATTACACAATGAACCTAGATATCATCATATTGTATACCCTGAATGTTGATTAAATTTAAGGTATACAATATGGTTATATGATTCGTTGTGTAATGATTATCCAATTTTTGTCAATTAAATATTTTACTTTAAAATTAAAGAAAAAATGTTTATCCTAACATTTAAAGACTAAATACAAAATAGATGGGCCAAACTCAAAGGAGAGAGTTTTTTTGACAGTGCACAACAGGTACAAAGAGGTTTGAGAGAAATCTAGAAAGTAGAAGCAGCAGAAACTGGGAGAAGACAGGGCTGGTTCTGAGACAGCAAGGGCGCCCTCTGCTGGACACTTCTCCCTATCACCACGGACAGGCCACTGCTTGTGCTCTTTGCCCCTCCTCCCAGTTCACCCCTCAGGCTTATCTCTCTGGTAAAACAGTCAAAACATATTCAAACTGTGGTGTAAATATCAACCCAGGGAATAACTCTGGAACTAAATTTGCCTATTTTAAATATGTGGGTTAATCATATTCCCAAAAGCCTAGTGTCAGCACCAAATTATCTGTCAGGGATATTAGGAGAGGAGAGCAAAGGGAGAGATGGTTTCTTAAGTAGATACAGCCAAACACTGAAAACAACAAATACATTACTAGTGTACATAACTACTGTTGTGACCCTTCCATAACCGACTCCACAGATGAAATTTCCTTGAAATAAGCAACCCTTCCTACATCCTGTCTTCCTCCAGCTCCAATCTGTTGTCCACAGGTCTATAGGGTCCTGTCTAGAAATACTGTAGTATGTGTTTATATAAAAATACTGTACCCCAAAGATAATGAAAGGGGGCTTCCTTAAAAAGCAACAACACGTAGTAGGAATAGAGCTGAACTGAAATTGGGCCACTTTGGCTTCTAATTTTGATATTGTCTATAATTAAGTCTAACGATTTAACCAAGTTAAAAAAAATCTAAGCCTCAATTTACTTGTTTATAAATAAGCAGTTTGAGCAACATAATTTCTTTTTTAAAAATTTGTTCTTTTTGGATATACATGACAGTATATTTTGACATATAAATACATGGAATATATCTTATTCTAATTAGGATCCCTTTCTTGTGGTTATACATTATATGGAGACTCATGTACTTTCTAAAGACCTTTCAGTTCTATTCTTCTATGTGTCTGATTCATGACAGTGAAGGTTCTTTCAACACTGTGATTCATGAAGCCTTGCCTTTCATTTTTTATTTTATGAAGTTCTTTCTTTAAACTCTTCAATTAAAAAGTCACTTATTGGAAATATCCACAAATAGTATGGGGAGAAAATGCATTAAAAATAAGCTATTCATTTGTATTTCCTGAGACATAGATTCAAATTTTAAATTGAACATTTGTTTTGTTCATTTAAATAGAAGACAAATACAGCTCAAGAAGATACTTCTGACTGAGCAAGGGCAGACAAAGGAACCCTACTGAGAAAGTTGCCTGGAGGGGGGGGGGGGAAGCAAACATTTCTTAAAACCCAGTGGTTCTCAATCAAGGGCAATTTTACCCCCAGAAGATTTCTGGAGACATCTTTGGTTGTCACAATCAGAGAGGCCAGGGATGTTGCTAAGCATATGCCAATGCACAAGACAGCCCCATACAACAAAGAATTATCCTGCCCCAAAATGTCAATAGTACTGGTATTGAAAAACCCTGCTATAACCTTCTCATGTTCCCTAATCATATTACACCACGTTTGAAATGCCCAGCTTGACGATGAGACCAATAGCCTCATTCAGTTAATTTATTTCATTCTCTTCTTTTCAGTTTTGCCAAGAGATAAGCCATCTTCTTAGATGAAATTCTATGAAGATCTTAGGTAAAAAATGTATTTGTTTTTATGCATGCAGGCATTTATTCCTGTATTCTGAGTTAAAATCTAGCAACTCAGTTATTTTGTGTTTTACATATTGCATTTCATATCCTGATTTCTAAATTATTTTCCAATCAGTACCAAAAAAAAAAAAAAACACACAAAAAAAATGTTAAAATTAGTTATGGTCACTTTGAGAAAGACCAAAATCCAGAAAGCTAGTCAGATTTTCAAGCATTCCCGAGCTCTAGCAAATCAGGAGGTATTGATGGAGAGCCATGCTGTGGTTTCAAGTGCTCCATTCCAAACTAGTTGTGTCACTGTGCCTGTAGACTTTTGTGAAAGAAATCAGCCTGCTCTGTATTTCAAATAGTCACTGAGTAACCGACATTTACAAAGGAGAAATTGATTATTCAAAGATGGAGAAGTAGTCTCTAAAAGCTCTGAAATGAATACAGAAGAAGATATTAACCAAAGATCAGATTCCTGATATTATACATTCCTACTTTCAGGCCTCTTTCTTTGTTAATTATAATTTGGAGACTGATACGTCCACCCTCAGTTATCCCTTTCCTATCTGTAGGTGTCGCTCTGAAATACAGTGGAATCTATTCATCTCTTCACTTTTGAATATGCTCTAGTCTACGGTTGGTTTGACCATTAATATACAGCAGAAATGATGTCCAGTTGGAGTCTATTCTTTAGTCTACTAGTTTCTGCTTTCTCCCATATGCTAAAGGGAAGCCCAAGCAGCTGCATGGACAGGTCCAAATGAAGAAGAACCAAGACCTATAGCCAACAGGCCCAACTGAGCTACCAGCTGACAGCAGCAATAAAATTTTTAATAAAAGTGATCTGTTAGCATTGCTTGGGTTACCCCAGTTGATATCACATAGAACAGAGACAAACTAACCACATGTACTTCTGCCCAAATTAAAATTCCATTGTTAATTAAATTGTAATTGACAAATTACAAACTCGAGTAAATAACTGTTCTTATTTTAAACCACTTAATTTTCAGGTAGGTTTTATACCCCAATAGACTACCAGAATGTACATCAAAGTCTCAATAAAAAAGCGTTTCCTGGAAACAGCTTGTTAAAACCATATAAAGAAATTCCAGGGATGGGGTATAGCTCAGTGGAACAGCACTTGCTTGCTGGCATGTACAAGGCTCTGGGTTTAATCCCTAACACACACACCACCACCAATCTCATTTGTATTAATGCCAAATATCTCATGAGGTATTATCTTTCTTATATATTATATTATTTGGGAGTGTCGATATGGCAATATATAAACAATGCTACCTGCGTTACCGTTGGTGAGATATGTACATGGCTTTTGCTGCAGTATATGTAGTTTTCAGCATGTTTTTATGGCAACAATCTTCCACACCAGCAGTAGGTCCTCTCTGTGATGAAACAGCCAAAGAAGGAGACGACATTGCATGAAGTTAGAAGACCTCACTGTTTTAGGGTCAGTCATCACCATTTTCCTGACGCCTCCATTCAACAAACTAATGATACAGGTTTGTATTCTGTGGAAATGCAGAGAAAGTTAGAATGAGCACCATGCAAATTCACCCAAATTCCTCTTTGTAGTAGGGAATCATGCTACTTGTTATTACATGCTCACCAATAGTTTACATTTTAAGTATTACTTAAGGAGTCTATATTAGAGAGAGATCACCAAGAAATATTGAAAATATATCTTTGTCTTGCTGTGTAAGAATATCCAGAACATTCATAATTTTTCAATTCTAGTTGATTGTTATGATGCCTGTTAAGGTGTAATTCACTCTGATAAAGACTGACTTTATCAGGAACTACAATCATATCCAATGGCTACATTTCTCTCTAATTTTTACAATTCCAATATCATATCAGGAGACCAGGGGTCATGGACTATAGTTCCATATATCTGCATCTAAATCTCATACAATTTTAGAAAAGATAAAACAATCCATGAGAATATTTAGAGCAGACTTTTAATGTAAATGTGTAAGTTGCATTTATTTTTTGAATCACCATATCTTGCATGTGGCAGGCATAAGCAAAACTAAAAAATAAGTCTCTTGTATCAGGGAAACACATGCTTTTCGCTTTCTAGCTGCAATAGCTGGAACCACAGAAGTATTGAGCAGCAGCTATTTCTGTTGATTTCTCTCTGGCCTCTGTGTGACCTGGTAGTTATTTGAACAGAAGAAAATGGAAAGTTTCAATTCCACCCCACTCAAGGAAGGCACTCACAGTGAATGTAACTAGACTTTTATTTCAGGGACAAGAACTTGATGTTTCATAAAACTTTGTGACATGTGGATACTATAAGAGTTAGAGTAGTTTGAAGAGAAAGTTATTACTTCTAAAGGTAGCTGAGAGAGAGGTCAGCAGAATTGATCATTGGAGTAGTTTGGCCAAGGAACCTGAAAATGTCCACTGAACCAATCAACTTGGAATTGAAATGGTGTAGTTTATTTGAGGATACCTGATTCCAAAGGAATCAATCTCATTTTACGTGGATTTGCTTAATAATGCCTTCAACAGATCAATTATAGACATAAACTGAGGTACACTTAAAAATTCATAAATTGGGTGGGTTTTCAAAGTCCCCTTTGGAAATCATCATATCAATAATAATAATATATGATAAACATTTAAGAAATATAACTGTTCACCACTTGACCCCAGAAGTTATGCCAGGACAGTATGGACCTGTGCATTTACATCTCTATGGGTATTTTGTCAGCAAGCCAATTGCTGCTTATGTTTTCATTTCGTTTTGTTTTGTTTTTATTTTAGTAAGAGCAAATTTTTAAGAGTACAATACAGCATTCTTAACTGTAAGCCAATTGCTCATGTTTCTATCCAGTTTTCTTATATTGTAACGAGCAGAAAATTTTTGTCTCATAAAATCAGGAAAAACACCTCTTCTTTGGTTACATTTGGTATACACTCTCCTGGGACAAGACCATAAACACAATTGATAGTAAACAGATGTGGGATAATTGTGATGTCAATAAAAGGGTTCACTTGGTAAATGAACTAGCACTACCTGAGCAATGGAGTGCACCCATAACACCCATGAGAGCATGGACTCTGAGCTGGGTTTACAGCCTAGCTTCACCCCCTCAGGAGCTGTGTACCCTCATGCAGCTTTAGTTCTCTGGACCATTGTATCTTTGTCTCCATAAAGGTGGTAACAACTTATCAGGTTGTTTTGATAACTCAAGGAGAAAATGAATGTGTGAAGACTATTAACATAAATATTTATAACCTTTCCCCTTCTGCCCCATCAAGGATAGTGTATGAATAATTGCAGCTTAGGTTTTCTGCAATAACAAACCACTTTCAACTCTCACACAACTCCCCCTTGCTAAATTCTCTGCAAATACCTCTCTGAGGAGCTGTTCTCCATTTTGGTCCAGCATTTCAGCCTCTTTTGATCTGCATCACAATGCATGCCTACAGACCCCTGGCAGGAGAACAGGGGCTGGAGAATCAAGCACCAATGGTTGATATTTCTGCCCACAACCAACCCATGTCTCTTTTGCTTTCATTGTATTACTCAACCAATGGCATTCAGCAAATAACTTTGAGGGTTTTGGGGTAGTGTAATATTCTGTGTAGTTGGAAAGGGAGGAGAAACAGATTTCAGTGAGCATTAGTAATATCTACTACGTTAATTTTTACTCCATTATGGCTCCTGGGGTTACTAAGGTACTATACATGTGAAATGGAAAACTAGGGAGCTAGTTGAAAGAATATTCTCTGAACATGAAAGCAATTTTTTATCCTTATAAAAGAAAGAAAGGTACTTTTGCCTGCCCTTTCCAGTAAGAGTACAATAAATTATAACAGATGTAAATGATAAATGGGCAGATAGGGAGAGAGGAGACTCTGAACTTCTAAAATCATAAACATCTATGTGTTTTTTATAGACACATACATATACTTATGTTCATCTATCTAATGTATACATGTATGTAAACACATGGATCCACATATATTACTCAAACAAACATGAGTTGAGTTTCATTTTCTGATTATTTGTGTGTCTGCTTTCACTCTTTGGCCTTGTCCTCATAAATCATAGGCATCTGGAGCCACTTGGTGTGAAACAAAACAAAGCTGTGCAGCGTTCATGGTGACCAGCATTGTTATGATAAACACAGTGGCTTAAAAGAAAACAGAGCAATAGTTAGAGGTCAGCTGAAGTTAATGTCAACCCCCACTCCACCCCCCCAGCTTATTTGTCAAAGAGAACATGCAATGTCTGGTTTGGTCCATATGAGACCTTCTTTGAAGACAGGAAGTACTGTTTTCAAACGTACCAGCATATTTTTTATGGGCACTGACTGATTTATACCGGGCATCCAGCGTAGCATACAAACACTGGAAAGTGCACCTGGAGAAAAATCACACAACATAAGCTCAGTCCAATTATTGGTTTTTTGAACCTGTAGGCAAATTGCAGCCTGTCATTCCCACACAATTGAGATGGGAATCTCAGTTTGAGTAAATAAGAATTTTATGCTTTTACAATACAAGTTAGAAATGTGACAGAATTGTTACAAGATCCATGTTTAAGGGCAGGGACTCTTAAATTCAAGAGAAATAGAAGGAAAGAGTTTCAGGAAGAGATAAGAAGACACATTTGACATGCCATCAAGGTGTGAAGTAACACTTCTCTGCTAAAGTATAGAGCAATGGAAAGAATGAAAGTAGGCAATAAAGTATGTAATCTCCTTCAGGAAAAAAAAATTCTCTAACAGAAGTAGTTAAATATGAAGAAATGTTTGAAATTCAGAAATTCAGTTATCTTGAACTGAATAAATTAAACATCACTGTGACTTGTCATGATTTGTCCTAAGTAGACAAATGACAAAATGAGATACACTATGGACCCTGCATTACAACATTACATATTCTACTAAAGTCAGTGCAGGCACCTTCTTTCATCCGCTCAGTTTCCTCCCTGTATTACTATCTATTCTCCAACACACTCAGCTTTCTGACCTCTCTAACCGTGCCTCATTCCTTCCTTTCTCTTATCTTCCTTTGATGCTATATACTTGGCAAACTTACCTTCCTTCTTCTGAATTCTACCCCTTTGTACAAATTCCACTTATTGAATACTTACCAGGTGCCTAGAGTTTTGCCTATTTAATATTTACAACAATGTTATGAGGTTAATACTTTATTATATCCATTTTACAGATAGGAAAGTAAAGGCTTGAACATGTTAAATAGCTTGCCTAAAATAATAGAGCAACTCATTTGCAAAACTGAGATTTGGACCCATCTGTCAAATTCCAAACTTTCTAATCTTCCCACTCTGCTCAAATACTACCCTCTTGCTATTTTATGACACTGAATTAAATCAAACCAAAACACATGCATTGAGCACATTAGTTAAGTGCAAGACACCTGGTATGGTTTGGATCTGAAATGTCATTTAAACACCATGTGTTAAGCACTTGATCACCAGCCTGTGTGCTATTGGGAGGTGGAGTAACCTTTAGGGGGTGGATTCTTGTGGAAGGAAGTGAGGTAACTAGGAGCTTGAAGGGCCCTTCCCCTCTCTCTCTCTCTCTCTCTCTCTCTCTCTCTCTCTCTCTCTCTCTCTCTCTCTCCTTTCTGGCCACCATGAGGTGAGCAGCTTTTCTTTGCCATGCACTTCTTCAATGATATACTGACTCAACACAGGACCAAAAGCAATGGGGTCAAACAGCTACCACCTGAAACCTCCGTAACCATAAGCCAAAATAAACACTTCATTCTTTTAAGTTGTTTATCTCAGGTATCTTATCACAGCAATGGGAAACTGATTAACATATAATTAACATATAATTTTAGCATCAGAGGCAAAAATGGCTCATGCCAGAGGAGTTATTGAGTTGGTCAGGGTATAGTCAGGAGACAAAGACCTTACCAGTCACTTTAGCAGGTAGAATGTCATATACAGAATGTTTAGAAGAGCTATCTAGCTATTTAAGATCTGAAAAGGGATGAAAGACACACTCGGATATCACAAAAGCTGTAGCACAGAGATTTCATCTCTGGGATTGAAGGAACAGAAAAGGATGGGATTTCTCAAACAGAGAATCTTGGAGATGGGAATTCACTTCTTGAAACTCAGACCCTTGAGAAAAAGTCAGTCTGAACACTGGTGTCTCAGCTCAGAAGGACTTTGTGGGTTATGGGGAAGGAGGGCTTGGCTGGCCTGCAAGGGTCTCTGAGAGGGTATGCTGTTGGTTTTGTAAATTGGAAAACTACAAATTTGAATCAAGAGTTCCCACCAGAATGACCTGGAACATCTGGGAGGCAAAATCATTGCTAGGGTGACACTGACAAGAATGGGAAGCAAGCAGGAAGTAAGCATTTCCTCTTTTGCTAACCTTCCATTTCCCTCCAGTTTCCCTGTTGGCAGAACATAAAGGGGTCATCCAGACAAGGCAACATGTGACTATAGAGTTTCAGCCTTCACACCACAGAGCAGAGCTTCAAGGGGCAAGTTTGAAGCT